ATTTTACAGTGGGAGGGGGGGCACTTGTTCTGTTCTTCACCCCAAAGAGGAGCCCAACGGGCGCTGAGGACAGCGCGGAACAGGGTGGTGGTTGCATGTGGGGTGGGAGAGGCGTGGTCTCTGCCTTGCCTAGTTGCTGATCCCGTGTCCTTGTTTTTCAGGCAAATCGATGACACTCTCCCTCCCCTCCCGCGGAGTGAGCCCTTCCAAGGAGCCAGCTCACGGTTCCCCTAATGGGCCACTCCGGCCGAGGTTGGCCTTCTAGAGCCAGCCAATCAGCGAGGCTGGTACCACACCCCTATAGGGTCCAGGCTCGGAGTAAACAGCTCGACTCCGCCCCCATTTCCGAGGGCGGGGCTGGGGCTGCTCTTCCTAGAATTCTGAGAACAAGGAGCAGGAACAAGGAGCAGGGGTGGGGCGGGGTCGTTGCCAGCTCCGGAGGGTGGAGTTATTAGAAACAATTGCTGCCCCTTGTGGCTGAGAAACAGAGTGTGGGTTGGGAAAAGTGACTCCTACAGACTCACCTGACTGATGGCAAAGACCCCAAATTATTCTTTAAAAACAGCAAGCAGTCCTGTGGCACCTTGGAGACTAACAAAAATATATGTATAGTATCATGAGCAGGCACTAAAATATATGTATAGTATCATGAGCCTTTCTAGTCACGCAACTACTAGCAGCTGCCTAATGCCGGTAGGAGTATCCATACTCTGAGGCTGCGTCTAAACTGGCATGATTTTGCGGAAATACTTTTAACGGAAAAGTTTTTCAGATAAAAGTATTTCTGCAAAAGTGCGTCTAGATTGGCACAGATGCTTTTAAGCAAAAAGTGCTTTTGTGCAAAAGCATCCGTGGCCAGTCTAGACATGATTTTGCGCAAGAAAGCCCCGATCGCCATTTTAGCCATCGGGGCTTTTTTGCACAAAACAGTTCTTCCCTGTCTACACTGGCCCTCTTACACAAGTATTCTTGCGCAAGAGGGCTTTTTCCTGAGGGGGAAAGTATTTGCGCAAGAAGCACTGATTTTGAACATTACAAATTCAAGTGGCCAGTGTAGACAGCTGGCAAGTTTTTGCGCAAAAGCAACTGCTTTTGCACAAAATCTTGCCAGTCTAGACGCACCCTGAGTGTTTGCTTAGTAGGTCTGAATGGACACCATCAGATATCCTTTTCCACAGGAATTTCCAGTTGAAAACTAGCCATCTGGCTACACTGCTTCTGAAACATTACTGCAACCCTGCTCCAAGTAGATGTTCTGAAAGGAAGCTATAAGGCTTCCAACTGTTCAATCACAATTATGTTTTATTAGTTTCCTCATGGTATTCTTAGCTTTGCTTCAGTTTTGGTCTTTCACATATAATTGAAAATACCTTTACTCTCTACCACAAGTTCACAATACAGTAAAAAGTGCTTTCTGCTCTCCTTCATCAATTCCTGTCATAAAGTAGGATAGCCCCTTTCTACACAAACACCAAGAAGTACTGAATCCAAGTAGAAGGAATGGCCTTGTGCATAAAGCACAGGTTTGGGAGTCAGGAGAGTTCTATTTGTGACTCTCTCAAAGACTTCTTATAGAAATACAGGGAAATTAATTAAGCACCAGTGTTCCCTCTAAGATTTTCCAGTATGTGCAGAAGTGAATTTTGGCTTGTGCACCAATATTGAGATCGTGTGCGCTGGTTTGGATATGTGCCATTGTGGCACTCTATTTATTAACACACACATGTTTCTGGCCACCGGAGCATAAACCCCCTTCCTCCACTGCATGTTCCCAGCCGCCAGATCAGACCCCACCCCACCCCACCCCCTCCAGCCATGTGGTATGTCTCATTCCTAGCCGCTAGAGCAGACCATCTCCCACCATGCGGCAGGTCCTGTTCTCATCCGCCACATCAGGCCCCACCCCCTGCCACGTGGCAACCCCTGCCACCAGAACAGGGCTCTGCCTCAGCCATGTGGCTGCAGCAGGTCTCGGCCCCCTGTCCAAGCAGCTCCCTTACCATGCTGTCTCAGCCGGCTCTACCCACTGGAGCAATCATCTGCCACGCGAGTTCTGCTGCGCAGCTCTCCAGAGGAGGTGGTCAGAGGAAGAATTATTGTGCGAGGCCATGCAGATGCACACCTTAGTAGGAACTATGTTAAGCACTGAGACAGTATTCCCATTTGTTGACCTCATAAGGGTAACAAGAGACTTAATTTCTGAATGTTTTTGAAGCACTTTGATATTCTCTAATAGAATGTAAAATGTGAGGAGAAAGTATCATCAATGAGGGACATATCTTTCTAGTCTCTTCTTTCTGTCTCAGGATGAAGTTAAAGTACTGGCATCGTACAATAGCAAGAACTTTGTGAGATTGCTAGGATACTCCACAGTTCAGCTAAATTAAGTTTAGTAGGCAAAAGGTTGCACAGAGCTACATAGACTTTCCATTGCTGCATTTTAATGAAGTTTAGTAGAGGAAAGGTCATCCATAACTGCAAAACATATTGCACAACATCCTTCTCACTTCTCATATTTCACAGAAGTCAGACTACAGTAGCTGGATCATTTTACTGCTGCATGAATACATGAGACTGCAAGCCAGATGGAAAAAATCTGTCTAGTGCTATAATAATCCTTCAGTAATTTAGATGCCAAATGTCCAGTCATAAACAGGAGACTCCCTTTCTTTTGCTTCTCTGCCCCCAGTATTCTGATCTAATGTTTTGGGTCTCCTGTTTTAACTCCTTTAAAAAAAATCACATTTAAAAAAGATGAAAAGGATGGACAATGAAATACTGCATTTAAAATGTGTCTACTAGCCAGGCAGTAGCTAAGCAATAAATGTCTCAAGGTGGGGTTTGGAGATAAGGGGAGGAGGGGAAAAACTACCAGGCATTTATCAATACCTTGAAGAAAAATCATAGGAACCCAACAGTGAAGAAAAGTGCCTTTGACAAGTATTCTTGGTGGAGGAGCCTGTCACTATAGGATGGATCTTCAGCTCTGGGGACAGTTTACTGTGCATAGGAGGACAGTCATCTTCAGTTTCAGAAATTCCAATGTGGTCAAGAATGCTGCTCTAGAGAAAGTGATGTGTGATGAGGTCATCCTAAAGCAGCTTGATGGGAAGACCTCACTCCGAGCCCCCACACAGAGCCCTAAGGACTTGGGTCAGCAACCCCGTCAGGTTGGTGGGGAAAGCCTCCCGCAGCTCACCAACCTATGGGCC